CCGCTGTCATTAAATTTAGTCACCAAACGGTTAATTGTCATCGATGTTGGCGAATTTCGACCGCGATATGTATTCCTATACGCACGTTGTGCCAGAGTAACTGAGGACTGATTTTGAAAATAATATTTAACAACTTCAGCTCTTTCTTTTGGTGCTCCATGGCAAAAAGTGTACTGGATTGACATTTCCATCGCGCGCTGTCACATTTGAATCTGACAGCTGAATGTTTTTTTGTTCTAGTATGACATTAGGTACCACAAAAAAGCACCTGTTATATTATTTCATTTTTTTCAATTTTTGAAATGACCGTCTGCCAATTGATTGATTGGTATCGACTGCCTTAGTTACCATGGATACAATAAACAAAATAAAATCTCCATGAATCCATTGCCTACTACTTCAAAACCGTAAAAAATAAGGTGTAGCTTGTAATACATCAATGTAGTTAGGAAAACTAATGCAAAAAATTTACATTACAGGGTGTTGCATTAAAAAAAACGAAACCCTCAATTTTCAATGGGAGGTATGGGTTTGTGATATGTCGTTTTAAAGATCTTTTTTATTTTATATCCAATATTATTTTAAAATTCATTTACGAGCTGAAAAGATAATCACTAATTACTAATTGCAGATTTGGTGACAACTAACAAAAGCAAAGCGGTGACGATGAAGATAAAGACACCAACATTTCTCGTTGCAGAAACTTATACCACCTACATCTGTAGATACCAGCAGGAGGTGAAATTGATGATTTCGAAAACTATGAAAGTTAATTAGGTACTGAAGAAATGTTTGCATATTCTTGCTTCACTTACATATAATATCTAGTTTCAGTCCTCATGTCGTCTCCTAATTATGCTAGTTGGGCCTTCATTGCACTTTAAAGCATAACTGAATGGGACTGCTACTTGATGGTTGTGCCTTATATACTTTGCCGTCCTTACATTTCATGTAGTGCATAAAGTTTTAACTTTCGTGAAATGGATACTACTGACACATAATGAATAATTACTTAAACGTAATGTTAGTTTGATCCCCAATGAGACAATTACCGTTTCGTGCGTAATTTGTATTTAATCTCTACATGGAATATGGACATATGGTACAAATTACTTCGATGCTTTACAGTTTACACTATTTTCCCGAAGCAAAGGAACAACTTCTTTGGCTAAATGTATGTAAATTATGAATGAGCGAATGCTGCTTGTACTGGTGCAATTAAGAAAGCGTTCTCAAAATGAGTCTTTAAGAATACCGCTACAGCCTAAATCCCCCTACACACGTTCTAATTTTGAATTGTTAAAAGCAATTACGCACAGACGCATTTGAATGCAAGAATTTGTAATTCAGTAAGGAAGAATTAGATTTGAATATTTCCCAAAACGCATACACAATCAAATAATTCCTCTTAGAACCCTCAAACTGAAATTTATATATACATGTACGTCTCTCCACAATCTTATCCAAACAGACGTCATATGCATTCATTTGCATGATAAATTCATACCATAATCTGAAATGATAATACGATTTCAGTATGAAAGGTGGAAATAAATTGATTTCGCGTCTCTGGTGACATATTAATGCACGTATTAAGTTGTGTGACGCGATGTCGTATCTAGTCAGTCTAATATTACACAAAATCTTCTTATTTTAGTACCAAGACTTCTTAGACTAACTACTATCATAACAGAATTATGATAAATTGGTATCGCGCACATACGAAATTGCGTTACGGCATTAATGGGTTAATCGCACTCTTTCAATCAGCGCGCCACCGGAAAAATGGTTACATCATTTAAAGACGCAAAGGGTTGCGCACGATTTAAATAGGCCATAACATTTGCATAGACTTGATAAAGCTTTCCAATTACGAGTTTATATCCAGCTTCACGCATTACACTGATTAAACCCCTTTTATGAGTTTTTCAAAGCTTCTAACGTTCAAAATAATTCTGATACCCACGAAGCTTTGTTTCTCCGCGTCAACTTCTAATGTTAACTAATTTCGATTTTATGCCTCTCCATTATATTTTATTATTGTGTTCAATTGTGAGGGTTGTATTAAATAAACAAAACATTAAACACACCATCAGAGAAAATATTTGCGCCCTGATTAAGTCCTACATATAATAATTTTATAGCCCGATTTATTGCTCTGTGCACTTTGAAATTAAGAGGACGTTATACAAATCTTATTAAAAGAAGACAAGGCTCACTTTTGGAAACCTTTCCCATTAAGTTGTAAATAATCTGGCGTGAGTAAACTTGATAGCTTTATTACTTTCAGAAAGTCGTTTGAGGTAAACTCTTAATTAATTTGAGAAGTGCGTGTTTCTCAATTGATTGCGAGATTGCATACATTTTAAATAACTGGCGTTTCTATCCCCAAGGTGCATGTTTTTTTTTCTGTAAGTAAAGCAATTTTAGTTTCAATCAATCACAAATACTTCGATTGACAAAGAAGGTTCTTGATTAGACGGACCTGCAACGAGCAGGACCGGTATAGGGGAAGGAGTTTCTCTATTGTTAACTCATAGATCCCCGATTTTAATCAAGGGTGCCTCTTCTCCGTGATATGTGGAATTAAATGTCATTCAGACGATATTGTGCCCTCACAAACAGATTTGCAGCGTATGTGCAGGTCAATGCTGTTAGTGGGTTTTGTACTATTTTATATTGATTTTTTTTCTTTAGTAATTAACATTTGATTTGTGTATGAATTTGCAATTAACCCCTTTTGTGTTATCTTTATTTGAAAAGGCGCTTTGTTTAGAAAACACAGTGCAATTCCCTAACGTATGGTTTTGAAAACAGTCTACAGCCTTGAATGAAATAAATTTCAGATTTACAAAATCTGCTTCTTCATAATGTGTAAGATATGGGATCTCTACAGAAACAGCATACCCAGGGGTTCACTACGACACATTTTTAGGGAACAGTTCCCAAAACTGCCCCCAGGTCTTCTAATGTCCAAAGTTTCTTGCAATACACGAGGAGATACCTTTATTGGTATGAAATAGGTACGTAATTTGATGAAGGCGACCTTGCCATCGAAAAAATTTAGTTTTACCATTATTGTTTTTCATCAGCAGCCACACAAGTGTTTCAGAAACTGTATAATCTCCCCAAAATTTTCGCGTTTCATTCAAATATTCATTCCACTTCACAGCCCCTCAATATTTGATTTCTAATGTTCACTATGCACACTAATTAGTAAAACTGTTTCAGTGACAGACCAGATGACTTCTATTCTCGTCCTTTTCACCTCATCGTCCATCTTTTATTTTTTAATTACTTCTTCATCTAAAACATACTAAGGTGCACAGTAGTGAGACGTGAGAGGATGCCCCCAAGGTGGGGACGCTATCACCACTTTTGTGGAACTTAACTGTAAACAGCCTTCTCTCTCGCCTCAATGACAGTGACTACATACCTACTGTACACTGAGGTATGCGGATGATATATCCATACTAATAACGGCCAAATTTGAGGCTACTCTATGCAGACTGATGCAATCAGCTCTTAGTGTCTGCCTTCATTAGATATCCACGTGGCAGAGCAGGCCACGCTGGCATCCTTGCGTGAGAAAAATAAGGGGTTGTTGAATACAGAGGTATTGAGGTGGACCACTCTCGAATTCTGGGCGAGGGGATTAAGCGATTGCTTTTCCTAGAAAAGCGATCGGACTCATTCACTCCTCAATTCATATTAGGGAAAAAATATCACATCGTTATTGACGAGGATGTGGCATCCCAACCAGACATATTCATCTACACGGATGGATCTAAAACAATGGGAGAAACTGGTTCCAAAGAACTGAATTTCCATATCACCCAACCACTAGGCAAACTTCTTACTGTATTCCAATCAGAGTTGGTAGGACTAACCCTTAGTGTAAGAAAGGTTCTTATGCATAACATAAAGAACAAAACAAATCAGAACCTCCAGTGACAGCAGCGCTGCCCTGTAGGCACTTGATCGCTGTAAAATTACATATTATTGCAAAGGTTTCTCGTCTCGTTTAGACCATCTTATAGCCCTTTGAGAGTATCCTCCTCCGAAATTCCGTTCTGCAGATATGTGCCTTAAATGATTTGACATCACCAGTAGATGTGTCTTGTCCAGATGATTCGTTTTGCCTTGATACGTACTCTCGTTTGACAACCCGCTTTCGAGATATTCGTCTTTAAAGTTTTAACGTCAGGAATGGATATATTTTTTACAGACGTCCTAATATTCCTTGATGAGTGCGCTCTTCCGACAATCCGCTCTTGAGACATAAAGAATTACTAGTATAACTGATCATGATAAGGGGTCAAGGACGACTGTTTGGTAGAAATTAATTCCTTTCGTGGAGCCTTTCATTAAAGTATCATTTTGCATGTTTGACAGTTCCTCGGATCCGTCCCGTTTCTAATTTTAAGTTTTTGCTAGGTTTCGTCGATGAAAATGCTCGATTTCATAATTTTTGGAATCATAAAGCTTGTTAAAATGTGTCCCACTTAAAAATACGATAATAAAATAATAAAGTCAAGATTTTGATCGTAATTAACTTTGCTTGTTGTTCAATAAAAGATCTCCGTCTTCTGTATCGTCGTACGCCAAAATAAAATTTAAAGAGAATCTTTTAAATCGAGAATGCAAGGTATACGGATATCGCCCCGTTGACAATATAAAATCAACAATTAATTTCTGAAGTAAATTAAATTCTATAATTGCAATTTCCAGCTCGATGACAAGTTTCAATTTCAGACATTAAATCAGAAACCTTTCAGGTAATCGCTACTCGTTACTGAAGAAAACGTAACCGATTAAAACGGAATTGTCTGCAAACAACCCATTTCGTGTAGTAATTATTGAAACCCAACAAATGCACTTTAGTATAAACGTCTGCAACAACGATGGGGACTTTGATCAATTCGCATGTAATATATTCCAGACAGAGGAGAAGAAAAAAAACTACGTTCATTAGTAGTTCTAAATTTAATTATCACAGCTGAAGGGATAGTTACACAATATTTAGGATCGCAATAATTTCCGGGAACTGTTTGTTATTTCATCTCATTGTGGGATATGTATAGCGGTTGACAATTACGTACAATTGCATGTTTACGTTCATTGTTTCCATTATGTATATTGGGTGTACACAATCAAACTATTGATACAGTGAGGGTGGAACAACTAGGTATTGATTAACTATTCTGTAAATGATACACCTATTACCTATGTAAATTGGTCGTTATTATATTAAACACTATAGGATCGTCGTTGGTATTCCGTGTACGTCATTAGCGTTTAATATAATTAACATTATAATGGCTTGAAGTATAGCGGCGAGGATGTCGATGCGATTTCGCTGCAGGCCGACGCATAAATTGAAGCTGCACGCATTAGGGCTCTGTGCTGAAGACTACCAGCAAGACTCGTGTACGAAGGTAACGCCAATTTTTCTTGTTCAAGTTTCTCGTAGTGCATCTGTAACAATTCCGGATGGTTTTCCTCCAAGTCGTGTTGTGGTAACGGTGGAAAGGTGATTGGGTGGTGTAGACTGTGTGATGGATGAGGGGTAATTTTCGCGGTAAGAGCTGGTAATGGCTTATTTTCTTGTAGTGGCGGCATAGGTGGGAATGTAGGAAAACTTTCTGAAATGAAAAACGTTTTAGAAATATTTTGGAACCTTGACGAGGTGCATTACATCATTAGTACCACTAACATTAGAACCTTATTTGCGTTTAAACTAAAATAGATTCAATTCATTTGGAGGGCACGTCCAAAAAAGTATGAAACATAATCCCATACCTCTTATTCTGATCGATGACGATCTACGCACCTAAAAAGCATTGACTAATTTGCTTTTCACTATGAATAATCTTGACAGAATATGTTAAAATAATAGTAGTATATAAAACACGCCACACATTTTTTTTTAAATACAGTACTGAGAAGATTTCAAGAAACGCCAGGAGTTCAGGAGCCATTCCCATTATACAGGGTGTAACACCTAAGACTCCTGGGATCATAGTTCCTTTACTATAGAAGATACCGAAAAAAGTCTTGGAGCATAATTGTACACAATTATCGTCGCCATTCTTCTAAAATATTTTTAATCGCAGAGGCGTGCTGTATTTCAGTGGTGTATCAAACTTTAAATGGACTACCCCATATTTTATTGCAGATTTGGAAAGTACTTGAAAAGTACTTATTTTTTTAATGTAACATGTTATACCATTAACTTCAACGATTTCGCTGTTATAAACTTTTTCCCTCAAAATTTGTCAGTTTTTTTAAATTCTGCTTACAGAAACTAAATAGCTCCGGTAGCTATGTTTTGAAATGAGGCATAAACTAAGACCTCTTTCACTGTCACATATTTTTTTTATGTATTTTATCGCAAAAATAGATTTGTTTGATTGACCTTCGTGCCGCAGTCAGGTTTGGATCCGTTTGTATGGACAATGTACAAGTAGTCCTAGCCCTACAAGTCGAAAAATACGATTAAAGGGGGTTTGATGATTAAAGCAATCCGCTTCGCACAATTGTAAATTGGACCAAAACATTTTAGAAAGGGAGCCATCCGCCCCCCTCTGGCAGGAGATGGTGAGCCACCCCTAAAGGTGCATTTTTTAGTTTTTGGCATTTTACAGAAAAACTACGACCTTTATCGTGTAGTTAAAGCTCAAAAACTAAAAAGCTAAAACTTAAAGCTAACTATTTCAAACATGTGACTATACTGGCCCAAACAAAAATTTTAATAAGGTCTAAAGTGATACCTCCTATCAGGAAAGGGAGTGAGAAACTGCATTTTTTGTTTTTACAATTTTACACGAAAACTGCGCCATTTAAACAGGAGATTCTGATGTCTTATGTATTAGACACTAACTTTTTGTTTCTACAAGAAAAATGTTTAATATAACTTTGGATCAGCTATGGCTCGGGAAGTCATAATTAAGTTATATCAGCATAAGGCTTATTTTAAAATCTGGAAAGAAAATCATGCATTCTACCTTTAAAGAAATACATCTTTCTCTAGAACCAATGGGCGAGATTGACTTTACCTTTTAAGAAAAATGTGTAATTATTCTACAGTGGAAATAAAAATACTAACCTTGATACAAGTATAATAAAATTAAAATAACGCCTTTATTAGATATAAACCAGGTTTTCTTCCACTTAATCCATAACAACTCCAAAATTAAATATTTAGAATTTCCGTGGACGGATGGCAAATAAAGAACAAGAAAAGACCCGTAAGAATTAAAAGATAGCGATACTCAGCAATAAACAATAAGCAATAGCATCGAATAAGTATGATTACTTATTCAATGTCAATAGTTAATTAATAAGCAACTTGAGAATGGGACCCTGACTCGTTCAAAAAATTGTGATGTACTGCCGATCGTAATTTCGTTGGATATTTACATTATGAACGTCAGTTGGAAAAGTGATTTTATTATAGAGATGTGGTGGTGTTTTAAAAAAATATACTTTTGTGATACAAAATCGTCACGTGAAGGAGTCGACTTTTTCCCATATCAAGCCAGAATATTGATTTTAATTTATGCAAAACGCTTGGAAATTTCCGTATGCCATAAATTAATTTTGAACCAGAATTCTGAATTACCTGCAACCTCCTCTTATGCGAGTAAGAGAGTCCAGGACCATATACATACAGTACCGCTACGTAAAATGGGAAATACAAGTGATCTACAGCGCAAAATTTTTCATGAAATTGATAATAATGGGATAGTAGGAAGAGTTTATTTATGAAGAAAAACAGACCACTGCAAAATTTGCCACCAACTTCCGGCGCTCTTACCTTCACATTTTAAGAGCTTGTTTGCAAACCGGACATCTGTTGGGTAGTTTAAACGTTATGCCCCATAGTCCTTCTCCAAAACATTGGGGTTGGAAATGGGTGGATGATCAGTGGTTGCCCATATGGACCACCAAGCCAACAGTTTGTGAAGCACTCGAAGAATTGACTAAATGCACGAGAGGTTGTTTTTTTTGTAAAATGTTCATACCTAAATTTGATATGTAGGTACTCTTTTGAGCAATACTTGCAAACAGAGAGGACCTCAGCAACGAATTTATGGAGGATATGGAAGACGACAGTGAAAACGATGAGGTAGGGTCCGTTGAGAGTCCAACCACATAAAAGAGGCCGAGAACATTTATTAGGAATAAAGACAGTGGTCCACCACTCTTAAGTTAGGGGGTTGGTACAACGTTAAAGGGATGCACGCTGTGGGGACAATGGCAGATAAAGTAACTGAAACACTGGGTAAGAGTGTTTTAATGTATGGGGCACCTACCTTACGGTTTTCCCCATAGCGTGGTCAAAAGTCCAAGAGGGTAGAAATAGGATCCTAATCTTCGGTTGGGCAGGAGTTACCGTAGTAGTTTGAAAATAAAACTGACTTGGAATAAAATTGTTATAAATAAAAAAAAAGAAAAATATCTCAAATCTAATTTTACGGAGTGTATTTGTTTTTTTAGCACTTATTCTCGTTTCTGAGGATGACTAAAAAATCTAGGTCTGATGGAAGGATTAGAATTGATGTCTATACTCTAATATTCCAAAAATTATCCCATTTACATATTTGTCACGTATGTGTCCGACGGGAAATAAAAATGGGAAGATGTTTAAGATCAATTTTATGCCCAACCATTACCACCTAAATAATTAGGTGGTAATGGCCCAACGCACGTTTGACGTACTAGTGGTAGTAAATTGTCACTTCCAAGTGCATTACATCCACTTTTCCTAAAAACTTCAGATAAGCTGTCGGGGTGCTTTTAATAACTTGGTGCACTTATATCGTTGAGAGCTCAATTATAAATCAGTTTGCGAGCCTGCAAGTTCTTCAAAGAAAATGTTTCCTACGTTTATCAAGCTCTTTCGAAAAGTGATTGCTCAAAGTCCAGCGAAAACAAACATTTTCCCCTAAATGAATTAAATATTCCGTTTGGGAGCGGTGCTTCCAAGGGCCTAAAATGCACGTCTCATCACAGCAGGCATGTTTCTTGGTCATATACCCTTTCCACATTCGTAATATTTCTTTTGAAAATTCCTACTTTAATACGGCGCATCCCTAAAAGGAGTTGGGAAAAAATTCCGAACTCTGAACACAAAAAAAACCTTTAATCCCAATGAACTGTCCGATTTCGTTGGACTAGGCAACTTCATAGCTAAGTATGAATGTGCTCTTCCGATGCACCCTTTCCTATGTATTTTTAAATCCACTAGGAGATTGATTTCAGCTTGTGAATCCAATTTCAAGTCAATGAGATGAGATACCTAGAGCGATGTTGTTTTGCGTTTCAGTGAGTAATTTAATAGGTAAGCATAAATGTACACCTCTGAGGCAAATCTTGGAGATATGAACCTTTAAATGTTTCAGTCAAATCGTAAAATTATGCATTTGTCAACTGCACTACAAAATGGGGCTATTTCCGTATATATCATTTTTACATAGACCGCGCATTTCTTTAATTCGGATGTATACTCGAAAATTTCCACTTTCTCACCATACAGAAAGTCCACACAAGCTTGAAGATTCATTTCCAACATGCAAATTTAAAGTTTATTTATTATATTATTTAGTGATATTTCTTAGTTGAAGCATTGAATAATAAATTCATTATTCAATGGTTGAAGTTTAAAATCAAAACCAATGAAAGCCATATTCAATCTGTTCACCGAGCTATCTAAACGCATTAGTTTTATTCGACTTTAGGTAATTGGGTCAGTTTTTGATCACTGCTGGTCGTTTAACGCATCCCAGTTACCAGTTGTATGTTTCATTCTGGTGCTGTTCACACAATAAGTTTGATGTGCGATAACTAAGATTTGCGCAATATTTCAAAGACTTATAAGTGTATCGTTTTAATTGGGAAGGTGAATTCAAGTAAGTGTAAATTACAGATTAGTTCATACCGTACATACCTGGAATAGGCATGCTTCCATAAAAAGCTCGATTTAAAGCTTGCTGAATAGGATCAGCATACGGAACGCCATTATAAATTAACCTTCCCCCGGTTTTCATCTGATCCCTATCCCCCTTCGGCTTTCTTCTAGGTCTATACTTATAACCTGGATGATCTAACATATGCTGGCTTCTTAACCTTTTCGCCTCGTCAATAAACGGTCGCTTGTCCAACTCGGACAGTAACTTCCATTCGGCCCCCAACAACTTGGAGATTTCCGAATTATGCAGTCGAGGATAATTTGTCGAGATATGCTTCCTTCGTATTCTTGACCACACCATAAACGCATTCATCGGACGTTTAATGTGTGACGAATCCGCGGACATCTTCACCACCTGATGTTCGTAGCACTAAATATTGAAATAAACTGACCCATTCAAAGGGATACGCATTGTGTTTAACGTTCTATAAACACACTGATTTCAATCTCTTCATTCAATTGACAGTATATTGTATTGTAAAAGGTGTGTTGTCACTGTGGCTAAAAAATTGTCATGCTTTTATTTCGATTTCAAATAAAATGTTTTGTTCGACTGAACTTTGTAACTAACACAACATATAAATTATTTTTGTCATTGGAAGACTTTATTGATAATACGCCGCTAGGTTTCTATTGTTAGGTGTAATTACATTTATATAAAATTATTGTTGTATACCAACGGATACTATGAAAAATTATATTATAATTAATGCCTTCCACAATAAAATTGTATCAATATTATTACTATAAAAAAACAAAGTAAATAACACCATATTGTGTGAATTTGTAATTTTTTCACTCAATAGAGTGTCATTGAAATGATTACCTCTACTTTTTATATATTTTATTGTTTTTTTTCTCTTTTATTTGTTGAAGGTTTTGATGGATGAATACTTGAGAAAATGTGCGTGTTTGTATATCTGTACTAAATGCCCTCGTTTAAATTTAGATTTGCCGTATTTGATGATTTAGTTTCAGTGTCATTTATCGAAATAAAAAGGAAGAATGGCTATAAGGGGAATTATTTGGAGGCTAAACCAATGCACTTTTTCATTTGAACTCAACATACGGTAGGTATGTTAAAATTTATACACACTAGATAGGTAATAATTGGCAATTACCGCCGTTGCGGGATTTATTTATTGTCCTCAAGTCTTCCTGTATTAATCCTCAAGCTCATTTCAAGTATTCATATTCACCCTGGTGTTCACCTGACGGATTGATTAATTTCCTTTCAAGTGTCTCTCAAATTCCTCTTACTTTTCTCAAGTTACTTTCACGTTTCACGTCCCAACTTACTCTTAAGCCAGCCAGACCCATCTGAAGCTACTCAGATTTCCCCTTCAGGTTGTCAAACTTCTGTTTCTGCTTAAATATTTCTCCTTCCAGTTTTTCTCACTCCGATACGCAAAGAACATTCCTATTTTCAATACATTTTGAATCAGGATTTGGGGGGGGGGGGGGGTAAAGAACACACCGATTGATCGGAAACGTACGCATAATACGCATCCTCAATTAAATACATAGTTCAAAGCAAACTAGCGTTAACAATATTTCAGAAAACATTGAGAGCGTACTCCAACTTGGATTTATGTTGGGGATGTTTATGTTTATGTAGGGATGTTTGGGATGTCAAAGTAGATTCTCTTTTTTTTAATCAAATGCTATCTTTTCAGTAATTATCGAGATACAGGTATTACCTTTCTGTTTTTATTAATTAGATCATAGGCCATTTCAAGTGTCAAACTATATTTTCTGATGCATTAAATTTCAGGCCCTGTCCCTCTTAGGGGCCAGATAACGTTGGGAATCAGGGGAATCGCACTTCTGGAATTAATTTTGCTTTCTTTACCAATTCCTGTAGGGGAAATTTGTAGTTCTAATTTGCTTTTAGAATGGTTATGGTTTTAGAGCCACAAATCTATTACAACATCCTGCACTGATTTAAGGTGTGCCTTAAATTCCCCCCGGAAAACTCTCCTCGGTAAATTCGCCTCCGAAAATTCACCCACGATATTTTAGCCCCGACAAAAATTCGTATGTGTATCACTATAAGAATTATGACAAAACTTACAATGAAGATAGAACTTTCCAGAACGTGAATTTTCGTTACAGCGGGATACTCGGGTTCCTCCTTCATTGTGGCAGTGAGGTATACATGCGTGAAATTCTTGGGGGCGAATATTGTGGGGCGACCTTTCAGGGAGCGAATCTTGGAGATGAATTCACATAAGGGTGAATTTTCTTAGGGAGAATGTTCCTGGACCAATCATCCTACAACCGTTACAAATTTTTGTTGCATTCTTCTTATGTTCTTCACGCTGATCTTATTTCCTTTGCTGTTCCTTCAGACATCCTTCACAACCACTTCCCATTTTCTTGATTTTTGATCCCTCCTCACTTTTTTGGCGGAAATACAGATCTTGAAGCACCAGGAATCCGAATAAAACAAAATCTCAATGACGTCGATCGGTCTGTGTATTTCCGCCAATCTATCGGTCCGTCTGTAAGCTTACTTTCGACTAAACTGCTGAACCGATTGAAATTTTGTAGGTCGGCACCTCGAATAAAGGCGAAACTAATGTGAAATCAAATAATTTGATGTGCACATGCGCAATCCGATCCGATTTCAAACACGTTAAACAAGTCTTGCGCGTGCCCAGACCCACATTCGTTATTTGTGAACCAATCCTTCTAAAACATTAGGGTGGGATTCTTTTTATTCTATTTGTGGCTGGATTTTTACGAAATTTTAACAGAAGTTGCATCTTACTAATGGAAAATGAATGCAAGTGGAAATGCGCATTTTGTAAATCGTTTACGACAATTTTTTTAATTTGTTTCTTTTTATATATTGTTTCTTTATTCAGGCCTCCTTCTTCTCTCACTTTTCTAAAGCATTTTCCTTTATACCCATTTTCTTCACGCCTTCTTCGAATCTCCTAAGCACTTTTTTGTATACCTTCTTTATGCCTTCTTCACTATTCTACCATGTATCCCGCGCCTCTTTTCTGGACACTTGTTTTTTACTTCTCGTACACGCTTCTTTATACTTCTTTTTCATGCTTAATTCATCGCAATGTTTTTTCACACCTTCGCACCTCCCCCTTTCACGATTCTTTCCTTTACCACCACGTATTTTTTTCAAAAATGCGCTATTATATTCGTTATGGCTGACTGGCTGGCTGTACGGCTTAGATCTCAGAAATCACAATAGCTAAAGACTTCAAATTTTCCTCCTTTCAAATTTTATTTTGTACGTCATTCACAAAAATTCATTAATAAGAAAATATAATAACTTGCAGAGTACCTATATATACGAAGATAGAAGACTATGGACACCACCCGTAAATTGTAGGGGCGTTACGTTACGATGATCGATGATGTGTATGTTATAAAAAATAAGGACCAAGGTGTAAAACCTATTTGTACTTGCATACTAAATTGTTCTGCTTTATGCTGAGTTGGGCCCCAAATCTACAATTTATGAAATATTTAAGTTTCAAGTACCAATTGTCATCAAAACTAATACCGAACAGCGACGCAAGTTTACAATGAGAATTCCTATTTTTTGTACGTTCATCTTTCAAATATATAATGCGTCTGAAACGACAATAAGTCGTAGTAGGTACTACATAGAAATGTATAGATGAATTTATGACATAAAGGTAGAAATCTAGCGACAAATGCATTCAGAACAAAATATTTCTCAAAAGCAAAGTGCACTTATTACAAAGCATATTAAATTCCATACGGGATCATAATATGATACATAAAGCCCGGCCTTAACAATGTGAGATAGGGAATAAATAGCAGCTTTATGATTGTGCATTGAGCGTGGCCAATCCGTGAAGGGAAGAAGATTTCCGCCACAATAATTGTTTTATCCTTTAACTATTGGTGACATGTCTAAGTTTGACCCCACTTTAGTTCACCACCACCCCGCCGCAAAAGGACTAATCGGGTTAATTATTTTCCGCGCCAACGTAAACTGCATCAAAAATGCATATTTTTATTACGCGTATAAGTAGCAACAACAAACCCTTTCACGAAATACTTATCTCACATAAGCAGACACGGCAACGTGCGAAAATATCTAACCTACACCCCAATATCGACTTTAATTAGATTATAAATCCAAAAAGTTTAAAAATGATATGAAAAAGCGATACTTTAACAAAGTGGAATTAGCATTATACCCCACGACTCCACCATCCCCATTCTCCCTATGATTATATTATTGTCCATTCAGCTGTGAGAACTGCGGCGGATTTCACACCGACTTCACCCGCTAATTACCAATTTAGAGTATCGCAGGTGCATACTGAATACACTCCATTCATTAGAGAATTGCATTGTTGCATACATTATTTAGTAAGTTTGTTGTACACAATTTTAAATAATGGCAAATCCTCGCGCATTCAAATCTACGTGCATGTAACTATATCCTGGAATACGTACCTATTCTTGTCGATTTTCCGACGTACACGTGAGACAGTTTCCTCTTGGCAACTAATAATAGTCGATTCGTTCTCGGGTTCACATTTTTACTCGTAGAGCTATATCACTTTTGGTATGTATTTAAGCGGTATTCTCATTAAATTTGAATAATCTCCCAAAAAAACTACTCTTGGAAAGTATAGGTACAGCGAATCAGAAAAACAAGATACGAAGACACGATTTTCAGTAAGGGAATTTTTTTGACACTCAGCTCGCCATCGAAATCACGGCTCATATTAAAAAGCACTGATTCTTGAAAACGTAGAAATCGGAAGGTCGCTTTTCGTTCTCGAGGTAGACGAGGAACAGATGGACGGACAAAAAGGTGAATCTTTTTTCTTTCGAAAAATTTCCCTTGGAAAGTAGAGAAAGGGTACAGTATTATTGTATACCTTTATGAAGACATTTTTCTATATATGTACGACTTAAAAAATAAAAAAAAGGGTAGATACCTATGACGTATGCAAGAAATTGCGGTTACGGATTATATGGTTTTCAGGGAAATTTTTCGAAAGAAAACTCCAGCATTACGTTACAAATATTCCAGAATCATTTCATCCGAGAAAAGAGAAAATGATCAAATGGGTAGTTTCAAACGATTCTGATTTACATTTTCCTATTCTCATAGTCACCATCTACTCCAGGTGTCTCCTTTCTTTCCAACCTTTTCTCGTATGCCCATCAAGATCTATAAAACTCTTTCTCTCTCTCCCCCCTTGCATCTGTACCAGGGATCTCAGAACAGCGTTCCGAATGAGGAGCGTTACATTAATTTGGAATCATCCAGGAAAATTTTGGATTTCTTCAGAATCAAAAGCGAATTGATTGGGAGGTGCGCATATCTGCAAAAAACCTAAGGTATTGATTTCATGCAGATATAAGTGAATTAGGACCCTTACCATGGGCAACTTGTAATTATATCTGAAACCAAAAGCATACAAAATATTGGGTGACTATTTAACCCAAACAGTAATAAATTTGAATAGTGGATAAGTATTTAATTTTTACTTTCGATCATTATATCGCCATATGCTTATTGTATAATTATTCCACCAATGGCTCCTGAATGAGACGAATAAAACAGAAATAATCGGAATTGCTACAGCCCCCACAAACCCTGTTTCATGACTCAAACCATTAAAAAACTTGCTGACTGTCCTGGGTTGTGCTAAAAGACCACAACCCAAAATATAAAATATAAGAACTGCACACTGCAGTGAAGCATTCTTGATTTAACTTTCTTTTTGCAAGAAGGCTGTAAAACCTATTTTTGGGTTAAGTCCCACGATTACATTTTACGCGAAAAGTTCCTGATAAGTGAAGCTCAAAGTAATTCTATTTGCAATCTCCGTGAGTTTCTCCGCCAAGCTCATCTCGAGTGTCGGTTTAATTTCGCTGATAAATAAATCGGAATTGTCGGTTATTAAACTATCGGTTACTTCCTTTATAATGGGATCCGTAGCGGACAAATTCCCCAACGCCAGTTTGCTGTTACCAATACTTAAGCGAAGTTTCATTTTGTCAAATTTGAGATGTTCTTCACCATTTACCGTAACTTTCCGACCCCTCATTACCACATCGGCAACGTAGTTTGCTAAAACAGCACCGGTCCGCGGTTATTTTCCATACCAAAACTTGTACTTACTGCTATTCCCTTCTATGGGACCTCTCTCTTTTATGGTGATCAGAAGGATATTCACAAACAAGCTGTAATCTCCTTTAAAATACAGGTCGGGTATTAATGTTTTGAAGACGAACTTGTTCTTTGTTAAATTCACCCTAAAATAACCGAATTAAGATTTACGTTTTGAGTGTGAAAGTATACCTACTTTAAATCCGTAACGATGAAACTGGAGGGCCCCCAAACTTTCAAATTGGTGATGTTACAATCAAGTGCGACCGCCGAAGGTCCCCTTTTCAGTTGAATTTCGCTCAAAATTAACGGCTCCATTGGTGGTACCTGAAGATCGCCGATACCAAATTTGAAACGCGGACGTAGATGATTGATGGAATTATTTATACACTTTGCCAATTCGGGATCGGTCGCTTTACAAACGTGAATGTAGTCAGCTGAAAGTAATGACTTGGATTTTTTGCTCAAAAGGGTTGTAGGTACTCACGCAGTACAGCCGCAACACTGAAAAGTGCAGAAATAGCCACTATCACTTGATAGAACTTCATATTCCTGATGCATCTAAAGCGAAGTACACAAACGTTATGCGGATTGGAAGAAGGTTTACTTTTATACTCTTTCCTTTATCTATCCTTGAATGAGTTATTTACGATGAAATCGATGGACTATAGTAATAGGAAGTGTAGTTACGTGATTTTTTTTTGTAATGTTGTTTAAACTGCATTAGTAGTCCGAGCTGTGCTCAAATTTACAATTCGTGCAGTGCATATGTCGCTTACAGCTCGTTTTTGTTAACAGTGATGCATTTAAATTTTTTTAAATTTGTGGAACCAAAGATCACGATCAAGGTGCCAGTTTAAGGTAGGAGGAAGAGCTATATTTTTCATATTCACTTCATTCATCGTGAAACCTGCATACAGCGGAAACAGGGGAAAGTACCGATTTACCGTATCACAATTGTGCCTAAAGCAGGTTGGACCAGTATCGCCAAAATTTTGCAAGGTAAAGATTAGGTCCGAGAACAACGAAAATTTGGTCAAAGCGGAAACCATAGGAATATAGTTGTTCTTTGTCGAAGCAGCAGTGACTGACATCACCACCACAATCCTCAAAATGAATTTTAAAGTTGTTTTGGGTCACTTTTGAACTAGTAGCCCAATCTTGGAACTATTTGAAATTGTGGATTCTACAGGCCACATTCTATAAGTAAATTTTTTTCCGGGTCGATCTGAGACAATTTTTCTATCGGGCCTCAAAAAAAGACAGTGTATAACCTTCCTTTTTTTTTACGAAAAATCGACTACACCAAAATTTCTCGGGAAAACACTTTTTCTTATTAATTTTGTTGCGTAGAATCCAAAACAATCCAAACAATTCGTCCTTTTTCGATTAGACTTCTCAATCAAAAGTTATAGGCTAGAAACCAAGTTCGAAAGAAAATTCAAAGGGCTATAACTTTTGAAATAGTAGCCCAATCTTCAAACTGTTTGAAATTATGGACTCTCGATCGATATCGATCTCAGACAATTTTTTTTTCCGGCCTCAAAAAAAGGCAGTACTTTTAAGTTATTCAAATATTTGAGAACAATTTAGAAATGTTTAGGGAAAGTTTCCATTGTCACAAAATCAAATATAAAAATCCGATACATCTGAATACCGAACTCGATAGTCTACGTAACTTAAAAACAATAGGGACCTTTCTTACACAGGGTGACAATTTGAAAACTTACCACCCCCCATATCTTAGTAAATAAACGAGATATTTAAAAAAATCAAAATCCGTTTCGGTAATTCGGTGGGGGAATCACAATGACATAGTTGGCGACGCACCCCCTCCAACCCCCTGCGCCCCAGCCACCCCAACTTTTAAATCTTAAATAGTGACCCCCCATGTGTCCAACGTCGTTGGAAAGCTCTGAAAAAATGCTTTCCAACCATACCAAATAGCATTACATTTAGGTTAGTAATTATCGTGCAAATCAAAAAATAAACATGGAAAATCGTATTTAACTTGAACTTCCAAAGCCGACTTGACAGCAACTCATTTTTGATCGCCAGTTATAATCTATTCTCAAACTCTTGTCGAACCTTTTCAAATGTTGGTTTGGCAATATTTCGACATTCTTGAATTATTCTCTGTCTTAGTTCGTCTATGTTCGCCGGTTGCGTTTTAAATACGACAGATTTCAAATGTATCATATTAGTTTATTTTTTGATTTGCACGATAATTACTAACCTAAATGTAATGCTATTTGGCATGGTTGGAAAGCATTTTTTCAGAGCTTTCCAACGACGTATCACACATGGGGGGGTCACTATTTAAGATTTAAAAGTTGGGGTGGCTGGGGCGCAGGGGGTTTGAGGGGGTGCGTCGCCAACTATGTCATTGTGATTCCCCCTCCAAATTACCGAAACGGATTTTGATTTTTTTAAATATCTCGTTTATTTACTAAGATATGGGGGGTGGTAAGTTTTCAAATTGTCACCCTGTATACTTAAGACCATGTGTACCAATTTTCAAAGCGATCGCACGTTTCTAAACAAGTTATCATGGACACGGACAAACGGATGGTCAAAAATGAATCTGTTCCAAAATCGCTAGGATTAATTTCAGAAAGGCGTACGTATCATGTGCACGACGTACGATCGCTTTGAAAACTGGTACACGTATTCTTAAGGATATAACTGGTATAAGAAAGATCCTGGTAGGTACCTCCTATATAATAATATAATAATAATAATAATACGCTTTTACTCCCCTTAAATAACAATAGAAATATAAAAAAAGCTAACCCCATACAAAGTATAACTTGATTTTTTGAGTAGTATTAAGCCTTTTATCTAGTATACTATTTTAAATTTTTAATGTATTTGAGTGACAAGTATTTGAATACTTTGTACTGTATTCGAATACTTTTCAAAGTAAGATAATGAAATACTTTTCAATGTATTCGAATACTTTTTATAGTATTCGAATACCTTTGATAGCATTAGAATACCTTTGAAAGTATTCGAATACATTCTAAAGTATTTGAATACTTATTTTTTTAAGTATTTGAATACTTTTCAATGTATCTGTATCTAGTATTCTCTTGTGATGGACGTAAAAGTATTTAGTATTCAAATACCTTTGATTTGTGTAAAGCATTTACTATTTAGTATTCAAATACTTTTTGAAAGTATTCTGCCCAGCTCTGTTTATTGACCATGTTTAGATCCTTATTCAAAAAATAAAATACAGGGGATGCAGAAGAATTCTTGTGTCATATTTATTTAGTCGTAAGACTAATCACAGATCTGACAATCTTATTGATTGTCTCTGGATAAATACTTTATGCTAAATCAATTAGCGATAACACCAACCTTCCCCATACTTTCTATTTATTAGTGACTATTCAATTCATCTAACATTTGTCACATTTCGACCAGTGAAATGTCGAGATTTCAAATTGTTGAGCCAATGGGAACGAATTATAGTGATAATTGCACGTGTGGTATTTCAGCGATAATTTCACGTGTGGTATTTCAGCGACAATTCAATGCGATTATTCAATGACATTTGTCAAACTTCCACCAGTGAAATGTCGCGAAATTTTTTCGTATTAACCGGAACATTCTTCTTAGTTTGTTAATCAATTTCGACAACCGACTTATCACCACATCTTTTAATTTAATCACTCATAACGAATTAGATTGGAGCACAAAAGTTCGAATAGAATCGATAGCAAAATGAAAAGCAACTTCCGTAATTTATTTTGACGTTTATTGTTGTCATGGAAATACATTCGCGTGGGTAATTATGCTTAATTTTTCTTTTGATTCATTGAATAGTCCTCCGAATACCATTCGTAGTCGAAGTATTTGTAGATTATTTTTGAGCTGCTGTTCCACTCATGCTAGTTACGCTTTTTACTAACTAGCATTCGTGACAGCACCTCAAAAATATTCGACAATACTTCGACTACTTATGGTATTCAACCCTATGCTGTATCACTCTCGTTATTCTATACGATCAATCGTTATCGCAGTTTAACGATCAAAGGTTATGATGACCACAACGACTATCGATAAACGCGATATGCTGTATCAATATTTTAACGGTATCGTTACGTTGTCCGGTATCTCGCAGTGGCTATTTCGGAAAAAAGTGTCGCATTCTAGAAAACAAGGAACGCTGCGCAACGGCAGTGCGTGTAAGAGTGAAATACCACAGCGATCAAATATAAGAGGGCGCTTAATCTTAAAACAAATACCCGCCAGATTTGGAAATGCAGACGTTTCTTTAAAATTATTATTATTAATTGTACATGTACCTACCTAGTTGGTTTATCACGACATGGCGAATGTCGAAGAGAATAATAAGAGGCCATACAACAGTTTGTTTTTTTTAGATGATTAGGTACAAATACCTTCATTTTCTCTCATATTCTGTGGAGGTATATCTACATCACCTTCATTATCCTCGAGTGGTGGTAAGTTCTCCTGTATCGCAATATTATGGAGTATTGCACAATGCACAGCACAACACAATTTTCGCAAATCTGTCAGGGGAGTAATGAAGAACTCTGTACTTCAAGAGGCATCTAAACCTTTGCTTCAACACTCCAAAACAGCGTTCTATTACATTCTTGGCTAAAATGTGTTGTGTAGTGTATCTTCCCTGTGGTGAAAGTGGGTCTGCCTCTGCATTTTCTATTGGCGTTAACAACCATGGCTGCAGTGCATATCCTGAATCACCTATACAAGTTTGTAAAAGGGCAAAATTGTTAGGTCACAACAGCCACACTCACCAATTAACCAAGATGAATGTAACTCATTGGTTAAATACTTTTCTTCCAGGTGCCTTTTCACCGCACTCATATCCCATATTGCAGAGTCGTGAGTAGATCCTGGAAACCGTGCATTACAATTCAGGATTTTTATGTTCGCATCACAAATCTGCATGTTAAACAAATTTTCATTGAAACATGCTGCTGTTAGTCCTTACCATTTGCACATTCAAACAGATTTTCTTGATAAACGAAAATCTTTTTGAAAATCAATTTCACCCAGCTGAAACTGATCACTGTTGTCTCGTAAAATTCTTCGTTGGATGTTTTCCTCATGTCTCAATAAAAACATAATCTACGAGTATTAAAAGGCACAGAACTTACCTCCCTATTACATTTTCCAATTGCCCGAACAAAGCTACTTGCAAAAATCCTTGCAATTATTCATTTTCTTTCTCTTTAACATCCCCTTAAACTCCGAACGAATCGATGACAGGACCGTTACGCGCCAAACGGATAGCATGCACCCTGCCGTTAAGTTTCTCTGCTTATGTTTGCAAAATAACGATAGAGAATTACGATAGTCGTTATCCCACTCTTTTTATGAGTGATACAGCATACCGATTTTTAAAAAATTATGGTAACGCCGCATAACGATATCGTTATTCTTAACGATAGTGATACAGCATAGGGCCGATATATGAAAATTTTTGCATTTGCGACCATGACAAGTCATGCGCATCAGAGTACAAACTTTGACAAAAGTGAATTAGGTACATCTTTTAAATAGTGAAGGTATGTAGGTATATGTTACGGACAAAGTGTTATTACTTGGCTAGCTTATACACTAGCTGGATAGTATGTAAACTATCCAAACGTATGGTTATTTTGATGGGATACCATTGTTCTACTAAAATAGCTACGAATATTGACTGGTTTGTATAATATCCAGTTAGTTTATAAATAAGATTTATCGCCAAAGTGCACACCACAAGAAAATTATTAAATTAACCTGAATTTTTGGCTACTTCACAAACTATCCACAGTACTTAGATGTAGTGTGAACTCAATATTCGTAGTAGATTTGTTGTCTGTGGTAATACTTAATAAATAAAATAAATTAACCAATACATTGGTTATTATGTATTACTAGGAATATTGAGTTCATACTATATTCAACCAAGGCTAATTTATTTTATTTCCCTAAAAAGCGATTGAGGTTCGCCAATTGCTACAGCACCCAAAACTTTTAAAGTTCCCCGAATGACACTATCGGATAATTGTAAGGGAAAAACTCCCATTCAGAGGAAAATGGGACCTCCTTCCTTACTCAGCAAAATTTAGTATACGATGGATTTGTCATTTAGGTAGCAGGGACCAAGGGTTTTCCGGTAACAAGTTGCCAGCTTCTGGATATTGTCCAAATTTCATTTAAATCTGAAAAAAACCCAATCCTTTTGACAACGACCAGAACGACAATGACTGGAGGCTGTTCGAAGAAGGCATACTGAGATATCTATACGTGAGTGTCTCAAAACTTAAAAAACATGAGGATGAACTTTGTGCGCTGAGACAACATAAAGAAAGTTACGAGAAAGATTGTGCAGAAGGTATGATAAGATGTCAAAAAGTGTTTGCAATTGATGCATGAGAAGTGTGTGCGTCTGTTTCGAAGTATCAAGCTAAAAAAATTATTTATTAAATTTTGTAATCCTAAATAAATGAGCACAATACTTAATTATTCATTTGAGTTTTCTTGCATTATTAATCTATATGACGAACACGCGGACGCTAACTGCCGATACCTGGGACAGCGCCTTTTTTGCAAGACGAATAATGGTACAAACAAATGTTGATTTAAAATTTGAATAAAATAACATTTATAATTAAAATATAGTGTATTTGTCAAAAAACTTAACTTACTTAGCATTAGAAATATTTTTACTGGCAAACATTAAGATCCGAATTTCATATTGCGATCATCGTCTTAGCATGGCGAATACTGGGGAATTTATATAACAGACTAACAAGAATAAGGAATCAGTTAAGAATGCAAAATTCCCGAGTTTAGAGTGGGAATTAAGTTAATTTCAGGGTTTAGAATCGAAATTACGTGAATGTCCAAATTTGATGAATATATAGTTTAGCTAATTTCTGAGATTAAAGTAGGCGGAATTTCAATAACTTTTAAAGTCGTGAAGGGAAAAAGTAAATGCATGTGTCTTCGTGGAAATGCGTCTGTTTCTGTATGTGTTTAATTTTTCCGTGCAAACGTCCAAACTAACTAATAACTAATAAGTATAGTACTTATAGCGAAAAATCAAGAAAGCTCAGAAAGCTCTTAGTGAAAATTTGGTCTCTATATATAGCTTTTGTAATTTCTGAGATTTCAGCCAGACAGCCAGTTAGCCAGCCGGCCAGCCAGATAGACAGTCATAACGAATATAATAGCGTATTTTTTTTTTAAATGCACTAAAAATCAATACGATCTCTAATAAGTATTTTAAAGAATTTCTAAAGGGTAAAATTTTCCGTTTAAACAGTGTTGTCAAACTTGATATGTATGACCGTGTGGCCTAATGGATAAGGCGTCGGACTTCGGATCCGAAGATTGCAGGTTCGAGTCCTGTCACGGTCGACGTACTTTTTTCTTTTCGCGTTGTTTCATTTTAATAAATTTGCTAATTTAATGTGCTTAATATTAATTTTCATAACAACGCCATACGTCATTTATTGTTATAATTTCATTATTTAAATCTGTAGCCGACTGCATAGATAAGGGCGCCAGCTATTAGTGAATAGCTGTCACCTTAACGCTCTAGTTGTTGCTAGTATTTAGCAGATGTCGCTAAATGCAATTGTAAACTCCCGCCATTTTTCAACTTGTGGAAAATTCGATAGATGTCAGAATATGTACAATACTGCAGAATTTTGAATTGGTCCCACATCCCATTCTCGCTAATTTGTAATGCCTGAGATGTATTAATAGACGTTCTGGGTTCGTTATATAAACGGGCATGTACGTTTACAAGTTTTGATAGTCTCATATACTTAGTTTTGTATGCGAGTAATCAAATTCCCAAATTTTCATGACAAGGATGGGCCAAGAATTAACTAAACTAAACAAATGTTCAGCTCGTACTCGTATAGGTCACGTTCGATCTCCTTTAAATTTGACTGATAGATATATTTAAATATTTAGACTGTGAAAAAGATATTCTCTGCATAGAAATTATTCTTACTAATTTAGGTTGATAAAAGTAGACGTAAGGCAATATAAAATTTTTTACCGGAAGTGGATAGCAACTTTCTTATTTTAAATAGAAGACACTGTATATTATCTACATGAACATCAACGTCGTTTGCTACCACATTTCCCTATACCTAGCACCAAAGTTTTTCAAGTTATTCAAGATTTTAAACATTTTTTTGTCGTTTGTGCTTTTCTTTAGGACTCTGTACCTATAACTCCTCTGACTTAACTTTCAAACAGTGTTCCAAATACCTACTGATTTAATGCTCCATGAGAATGATTAAAATTGTTATCGCCCTTCTACAGAGCCTTGAACTAAATGCGTTAGTAGATGCCGTTGTACAATTCCTGGAAACACATTACCTGAGGGAAACTACTGGTTTCAACTCTATCCCCTGTCCTGGAGTCCTGTATCCTCTGTTTCCGTTGTTTCGATAATCTGAAAGTGCAACAAATTATTTTTCACGTTTCAAAGTAGCATAATTTTTCTCACTTTTGCTAGCTTCATTTTTCAATCCATCCAAGCAAGTCCACTTTTCATTAATTTGAGAGAGAAAACTATAGTATTTCCTATATTTTTTGTGTTTGTCTCCATTGTTCCCCAATATAATCATAGTAGCGTATTTTTCTACTAGCTCTTCAGGCTACAACTTTTTAGAAATATTCATTTTTCAATTGATTTAATACAACTCGATTTTCTATTAGTTTTAGAGGTAACACTATGGGCACTATGGGTTCTGCGTACTGTACTGTATGCTGTACACACATAACGTCACACAACCTGCTGTAGCTCCAAACACGATTCCTTTCATTTGCTTTATTTCTTATCTTCAACTAACTTCTTTAATTACATATTTCCTACGGCAATGCTACTTCACTAGGGTCAGTTCCGTCGACAAAGTATACCCTCCCCCGTCTTCACTTGCCGTTCTTTTTGCTCGCTTATTCATAGCCACATAGATAAGGTATACGTCTGCAGGTAGATACTTGCACATCTGCAGCTGCCTTCTACAAGGCAGTTGGGCGGACAAGCGGCATCAGTTCATCCGTAGCTTTTCCACCCTGCTTATCTTCTGCCAGTTGGTCTTTAAAGTTCTCTCAACATTTTCGTCATTTTTGTAGTTTGGAGGTTGAAAATACCTCTCGATAGTGAGGAGGCCCGCACCTACCATGTTTGACTTTTAAATTGGTAGTTCGGAGGTAGTCGGCGTAAGCAACGCCTATTTTAGTCGTCTGCTCCAGGTGCTCACGAAGGTGTGACAGCCAGCTCGTGGTTTATATTTGCCCCCTTTTAATACACCCTTTCGACGCCAATTGATTATTTGGTTGTGGAACTAGATATAAATGTTAAGTTGGTAGCATTGCAGTATTGTCAACACTGTCTAACAGCCAGCTGATTATGAGTGACGTTTTTAATTTTGCATTTCATTGAGTTACTTTTATCTCCTGTCTTCGAAATTACCTTATAAGATGGATAACTCAATTAGTAATTTTGGTAATGTGAAAAAGAAGTATGAGCTCCCATGGTCGAATTACAATTTTAATTTTTAGAACTATCCGAGAGCACTGTACGTCTGGGATCAGATTCAGAAAAAAGCTCTGAGAAAAGTGATAACTTCGAGGAGCTTGTTGAACCAGATACCGATGAATCATCGAACGGCACTAACGAAAATAAGGTCAAACTTCATAGTGAAGATTTTGATAATAATTTACCCGAAACAGTCACTTTGCTCAAGCACCCCGAAACCGGTGTGAAAGTATACCTAGTAGGAACCGCACATTTTAGTAAAGAGTCGCAGGATGATGTAATTAAAGTTATTCGTAATGTACAACCTCAAATAATTGTGTTGGAGTTGTGCGATGCACGCACTAGTATTTTATCTTTGGATGAGGCAACAATATTAGAGGAAGCTAAGAATATCGACTTTGATAAAGTTAGATCGACAATTAGGACTAACGGCTTTTACAATGGTGTTATGTATTTATTGTTACTGAATATGAGTGCCCACATTACTAAGGAAATCGGAATGGCGCCAGGAGGTGAATTTCGTGTCGCTTATAAGGAGGCTAGAACTTTGCCCAGCTGTAGTATACACTTAGGAGATCGCCCAATACAAATTACCTTAAAACGTGCCTTATCTCGGTTATCGTGGTTTCAAACTATTAAGTTAGGTTGGCACCTTTTAACTAATAAAGAGCCAATTAGGTAAGCCATTACGCTACTCATTGAAGGCTGTTAATTGTATACGTGTTGCAGTAAAGAAGAGATTGAGAAATGTAAACGGCGAGACATGTTAGAGCAATTACTAGCAGATATGGCTGGCGAATACCCCGCACTCGGAGAAGTCTTTGTTGATGAACGTGACATTTATCTAACTCACTCTCTGCAAATGGTCTCCGGTCCGAGATTACACAAACGTAAGTTCATTCCACTGAGGTCTTTGTCTTAACACCATCTTTTAGCTGTCGTAGATCAAGAACCACCAACAGTTGTCGGTGTGGTTGGAATGGGTCACGTGGTCGGTATTACTCGTCTTTGGCTCAAAGACCAGCGTCCATTTCTCGCCAACATACTCACCATTCCTCCGCCTTCGCTGTCATCGAAAATTTTTAGGATTACATTTAGATTATCCCTTCTTACTCTCGGAGGTTTTGTTGTTTATCGTTTTGTGCCTATGCCGAAAATGTTTAGGGAAACTTGCAGGACTGGTTTTGAGAGAATTGTTTCTAATATTAAGAAGTTTTAATATACTTGTGATACTTACTATTTGTCTTCCTATTTGAGTACACTGAATTTTTATAATTGGGTTTAAATTATATTTTAATACTTAAGATGAATGTCCAGATCTAATGGGAATTTAAAGCTCTGTTATACAATCCTTGTTTTTTTATTAGTCTAAGATAAGGGTTACTTTTGTATCATTCCAATAGTTATTTGTGCAACTGGTGTTCATAATGTGCTTGTTTTTTTTATTGGTTTTCACACCGCTGTTGGGGAAACTTTTTATGTTGATTCAGATGTTCTCTGGTATTAAAATATACAATTTTGAATGTTATACAAGGAACTGTCAGGTGTTATTGTTTGTAATTTTGTTGCGTTATCAAATGACAAAATATATTTTTAAATTAAGTTGTACTTATAAATTACAAAACCAAAAAAGAATACAAATGCCCATGATTTTTGTTCATAAACAGTAAAGTTCATAGCATTTTCTGCTGCACCACTCCTTTACTATGTTTGTTATACCCAACAATGAATGCTGAAATTAAATATATTTGGCTTAAAGGAGCCTTAATGAACACATTGGCCATGCTGGCAACTAAAAGGCGTCACTGAGTCCTACTATGACGGCTGAAAATAAAATCAAACCTGAAACTGCAACACTAAAGCAGAAATGCACCTTTTCTTCCATATGGTTAACATGAAAATATATATTATATATGATTATTTAAATTCAGAGGCAGTATCCTAGTTTAATCCTTGACCAGCGGCCTTAGGGTCTATTGTACTTTCTAGCTCTCACTCCCTTAAAAATCTGTCTTGGGAAAAGTTCAAAATCTTTCTGGGAGGAGCATTTTGAAACATTCCATAATCTCGCTTCTCCTCAGGAAGTATTGCGTACGCCCCACAATGACACCGTATTTGCAGAGGTGCCTGTTCTTCCTCTCCATATACTTCCTACGCAGAGGGCTGCCTTCAAGGTACATTTAGTTAATTGGAAAGTCTCCATTGCTGCCGTTGTCCGTATAGGCATGACCTCTGATATGTCTAAACAAGCCAAGCGATGTATGACGGGGTACGTGCTGAGGCTTTGGTATCCTTTACGGCTCGAGGTCACGATTGGGTTTGTCAACGACCCCACAGTTATAGCGCGCGATGGCTAGATGGGGGTGAGGATGGCGCGTATGACACACGTGCCGTCGAAAAATAGTTAACTGGATGTAGGGTAGCCAGTTGCTGACCATTCAGCGGGATAAAACCAGAATCGCCATATGTTGACGGGTAGGAGAAGGTTGAATGCGGTAAGCGTAGACATATTGGGGTTCTGGACGAGGGTATCAGGGCCGAGCGATCCATTAAGATCCTGGGCGTGATTATCGACGACAGAAGCTTGAAGTAGTGGCACTAAGTCAGTTTAGGTCGAACCGGGTCATTGCTAATGTGGTTGCGAAGGTATGCGGCGAATAGCGCCTGATAAGGATTTAACTGCAAACCATATGGATAAGCTGCTTCGTCTGATTGCCATAAAGATATGTAACGGCTATACGTTTTGGTGATAGCCGGTACTACACCGGCGAGGATTGTGGTGAAGGTCCGGGCTAAAAAATGGAGTAGGGCCCGGGAACTAGAGGAATAGGAAGTAGGTACATTGGGGTGGCAGGAATTCTTGGATGCACATTACAAGTGTCCGGCGAATAAGTGGGTTGCGTGCAAGCATATGATTACCCAGTTCCTCACGGGACAAGGTAAGTTGAGTATGTTATCCTCACAAGATAAGGGAAGATATAGGATGACTGATGACCTCTGCCTAGACTGTCAAGGTGTCGAATATGATCGGGAGACGAGAAAAGTAGCATCTTTTCTTCTATTCCATGAGGTGGATCCAAGAGAGAGAAGAACTTGAGGCGGCATGTGGTGTGGGGGTCGGTTTGATGCTGTAGAATATTCTCAGCGTGATGTGCAGCGAATACTGAGCGACGCAACCTGAAGTGATGTTCATGCGTGGTTCCGGGTTGGGGATAGCACCTGGGAAAAGTGGTGCTGGGTGTAAGTCCCCAGACTACCCCCGCTATAGAGCCAAGCCGAGGTGGCCGTACGGAATTCCCAATCCCAAAAAGAGACCTTTTTATTGTTGTCTCATTCACCAGACTAAAAATCAGGTTAATGGTAGGTTTAACCTGGGTCATTTTTGGTCAATGATTCTTTTTCTTGTAAACGGTACAAATAAGGTCTATTTTTCTCACATCACCTTTGTACTATAATTTGAATGCTTCTTGCATTCTGTCGTACACGTACGCTACCCTCAAATTTTTTACAGTTTGTGGCATCAAACCTAAATCCTGCAGTACCTAGTCACCCACAACAAGACACAAAAACAGGGGGATAGTACTTCTCCCTGTAGAGTGTAGAGATCCGCTTACGGCTTGTACTGCACCTACACTATATTCCCCTTAAGCAGCAGCGTGATTAGTCCTGTTTTCCCAAATACAAAGTTATCCATCTCCAAATTTCCAGGTATCTACCCCTGTTTTCAGTGGTGTATAGTGGGGCGGGAACGCGTGGGAACGCCGTCCCCATACTGCTTTTTTCGAGAATATATATATACGAAAGCTGTCCGTATTAACGTACAATATACAGAGACTTGTTACAACTAGACCGCCCATAGCCCAAGTTGTATGTTGTCAACATGGTAGGCCACCCACCGAACAAGAACTTTCGTGCTCCAATTTTCACTATTTGTTTTTGCTGGGATTATATCGCTGAACTGGGCTAGTTTTTCAGTATTTTTTAACATTTCTTTGCTGAATCGAAAGCGCACTCTTTCTAGATACATAATGTTTTCAAAAAAGTTTTATAAATGGGAATAATGAAATAAATGTAATCTAATGTAAATTTTCGTATAAGGTATTTTTTTACCGGATAGTTACATCTAAGTATAGTTATGTAGAATGGAATGGAAAAAGCAGAAAAACACAAGAATATTTTGAGAAACAATCTTTGCGATAGTGTAACAGAGATATGAATTTGTTTATTCGGCGTCTTTGTTGTACGTCGCGCAGATATCTCCACGGATGTAATTTGTTTTTGGCATTTCAAGATCATATCATCGTCATATCATAATCATGTCCTGCAGGCTGCAGTGAATGAATTTAATACTGAAGGTATTCTTTACAATACGTATTCATTACGAAAATAAGAAAATAAACGAAGCAGATGTGAGAATTAGACATTTATACAACAAATGAGTATTGTTTAAAAGCCAATAAACATTTTTATATCGATAAGCACATTTCATTTTACCATTGAATAAAATTTTTATGCAATAATTCTAGTTATTTCGACTGGTTATATGTAGGATCTTGCTAAACTAGTTCGCGCTTTGCCATTACGAGTATGATGTGTTGCCTAAACATGTTGGCATCACTCTTTTATAAGCGAGTAGCATTGTATGCGCGGTCTAGGTATAACAAGTCTGACAATATACAGTATACTTTTTCACATAGTAAACATAATTTTATTTCAACCAATTACAAATTCTGAAAGCTTTGATTTTTAGCTATTTTTTAACGTATCTAGTTCAAGTGGCGGATTATCCATAAGGCGCATGGGGGCGGAAAAATTATAATGAAACTTTTTACATAAGGACTTATTTTTAAATCATGATTTCCAAAAAAACCTATTTTTAAATATTGTTAAAATATCTTCTTTTTTGCCTGGCAAACTTGGATAGTATATGTTCGTAGTTTCTTGCGTTTTTGCGAATTAATATAGTGCCATTTCTTAATAAAATAGTGATATTTACATTCTTGAAATCGGAATCTATCAAATGACACAAAAAGTAGGGATGACTTCCATAAGAAAAAACAAAGTTGATGATGGTTAACCGGAGACGAAACGTCCGACTTAAAATTTAAAACTAGCATCTTGTAGAGGGAAAAAGTGGCCATAATAATATGTCAATTATTTTGAAATGTCTTTTTAAATAACTTCGATAAAAAATAAAAACGATTTTGCAGAATTTTTTTTCAGGATATTTCCAAAAGTAGCCGGAATTTTTTCAGTTTCAAAAGGGTATTTTATAAGCATCCAAATACGCAACTTTGCAAAACTTAAACTACCTACCTACCTATCTCTTACAGTTTCCTGGCCCTCTAATTTGAATCAGTCTGTATATCTATAGTTTATATAAATTTTGTTTTTTTTAACTGTAAGACTCAATTTTTCATTTTTTAACGATAATGAATATATTAGTGATGTGGCAGTTTAATAAAAATTTCTTTTATTATTTAAGTACCACTGAAACTACAAATCATTAAGCTATTTGTGCTTATTGGACAGTTACCTACACACATTTCAAGGATGGGGCGGCAAAACCATGTTGCGCCTCGGTTCCCTATAGGCCTTAATCCGCTACTGCCTAGTTCCCATCACGATCAATGCACTTTTGGGCTCCGAAAGCTTTTTCATACCGGCGTCGTACCACTCTTCCACCATTTGGTCCGAACAAGTACATTATCAGTCATGGTTTTAAATCTTCCTGTCACCTGCACGTGTTAAGTGCCGGGCAACGCCCTTGTTTTAAGGGTGATTAATGCAAAAGTTCAGAAAATGACTATAAAAAGCGCTCTTCTTTGGGTAAAAGAAGGGCTATTTTACGCTGAAAATCATATTAGTTCACTGTAGATACTTTTTCTTAAAAACTGGGTGGTATAATTGAAGTCTTGAAGAGACCATTTAACAAATCCCCCTAACAGTAACAAGCTCCATAACCATTATTATATTTTAAATTTTTTTGGCCTGTTTCTTATTTCTTTTTTAATTCTTTTCAATGCCGAATCGTTTTCCTAATCTCTCCTGCAGATCACTGGTTGTTTCAAGATGATAATGTAACATAGTCACCTCCGCTTGGAATGGAACCTTTTCTTAAAGATTGTAAAGTGCAGTAGTTCCCACAAACAGTAACTAGAAAATCCCTTATTAGTATATTTCCTATACATTTATGTTCATATAAAAGGTAAGGTGGGTGCCAGTTTGAGATAAATCAGGAGCTATTCAAGGTTAAACACAACCATCAATCTCCAGAAAACGACATCTTTCACGAAAATTAGTAATAATATCCTACATAGCAGATAGCACATTATTATCTGACTTACCAATAGTTTTCCGTGACAAATTCTCGAGTCCCACTTCAAACAATCTGAAATCTAGATCTTTGTTTTATAAATGGCTCAAAGCAATTTAGAATTGCCACTGATATAGTAATATTCACGCCCTTATCCCTGGAGGAATTGAATAATAGTTAGAACGTGATCCTGGCCTAACTACTACACGCATTAATAATAAAGTTTAATTGTGTAGTTTAGTCTTGCAGTAACATTTTGCGATGATTTACTCAAACTGACCCCTCT